CTTTGCCCATTGTCATAAGCATAATTTTCTCATCGATCTTGTGATTAATCATAAATTGTGTATAGCCTGTTGGCTTTTGTGTGAAACGCCGACAAACCACCAAACTCCGAACAGATGTATTTCATTAAAGTAACTGCCTTTTTTCATTCGCACAAAGGCACCGACTCCGACCCGGGCACCTAAATAGTCGGCGGCCTAGTCAATTTTTATAGTTTTTCGAAAATTAATTGTAATGCCTCGAGGGGCATTCAAGAGCACGTCCGATTACATCTGCCAGCTACCAGTGTTCCACATTTGATAGATCTATCAGCGTAGAAATATTCGAATTTCCACTAAGTTGACTATTGCCAGAATATGTAAGAGAGATATTTGTAGAGTTATTCAAGTTATTGCTGAATACCATATAAAAGCTTAGCTCTTGACTTAATTTAAACAGACAATGGGCTTGGAATAGAAATGAAACAAAGATAATTCCTGTTACGCTCTGTGTCGATAATAATAAAAATAAATTCTAATTTAGACTTAGACTTAGAAATAACCTTAGACAAAATGTAAGTGTAAAATCAAGCTCCATAATGAAGTCAAGGGAAGGCATTGGCTAGTTAGAAAAAAATCTAAGCAGTAATTGATAATTATATTGTTATTATAATTGCGAAGCTTCTAATTCAGCACTTTAAAAAACGCAATTCTAAGTTAATTTATTTCCAATAAATGTATAGATTCATGATTTGGATCAACAGTTGAGTCCGTCTGACCTGTGAAAATGGCAGTCACACTTTCAAATTAAGTTAGTTTCAAATAGTAGATAGTTTTCCAGTCATCATCTAGTCGAAACACTGATAACTCAGTGTGTTAATAGGCTTGAGCCAGCATGTCGACACGTAATACCTGATATCTTCTAGTCGAGCATTTCCGTCTACTGGCTACAAACCAACTCGAGCTGCCATAGGACTATAGGAAATGGAACAATCTTCAACTTGAATATTCTCAGAGAATCATGAGTTCATATACATATGGACAAACAAATTAAAATGATATACACGAAACGTCAGTTGATGCTGTTCGTGAATATATAGACACAAGTGCCTCATTAAGTCAGTAAAATAAAAGTGCACAATATTAGATGCTGCTCATATATCTCTATATATAACTATATATATATATATATAGATATATACATAAATATATATATATGAGCTTTTGAAACGTTCGAATTAATTTCCTTTTGCATTTCTGCAGTATTTAATCATCTCAATGAGTTCGTTCAAACTCCTTTTTCAGAGTCGCCTGCAAAAACGGGCAGAAATGTGACAGGAATGGCAGCAAAATACAACAATTTCCGATTGCGATAAACACGTTGAATTCCAACATGTGCAGAGTTAGCCATTAATAACTGGAAAGGCCAACAATGTTGTAAGATATTTCTCGGCCGCGAGCAAAAAGCCTAATTATAACGCAAAAAGGCCGCGACAAACTCATTTGTCCATAGTGAAAAATTCGCATTACACAGCGGCCGAGATTGGCGGCATTGCCATCTGAGGACGGGCAAATGCGAATGCGACTCCGAATGGTGGCAAAATTGCGATGACAACAAATCAAGCATCATAATGTGTCAGGCAATGCGTCAATGCCAACTGTGGAACACTGCGGCGATGCTGCCACAGCTGCCCCCGCTGCCACCGCTGCCAACGCTGCCAACGCTGCCACTGCTGACACTGCTGCCAGACGCATTACAACGTAATTGACGAGGATTGTCAACACGGAGCTAGTCGATGGGGAACCCTCTGCAACACCTCGCTGTACCATAACTTAGCTTAGAGTTCAGTTCAGTTCAGTTAGGCTCTCTGCTCTCTCGGACCACTTACTTTATTTCTCTCCATTACTAATTACCGCTAACTTAATGACGGACATCTGTTAATACCCTATACTTGTCTTGAGTGTCTCATATTTGCAAACAGTTCAATCAGCTATGCTTAAGCTAGAGTGCATCTTAGAGTACTCAGAAGACTTTGTAATCGCTTAGACTAAGATTTATTTCCTGTGTCCGCTTGTAACACGGCAAATTACAGGGTAGCCAGCAGTTGTTCACTCTAACGTGTTCTCTCTTCCTGCCATTCAATTGCTATGACTGCAATTTCTTAGCGCATTCCTTACTTCTCGCGCCTGCTGCTGATTTATTGGCAATTTGCTAACTATTTTTGACTAGAGAGAGAGAGCTCTGTTGTAACTTGAAGTGCTGAATAGTGCGTTATGCACTTGGTATTAGAAACTTCCCTGCAGCCTTTGTAGTTATGCAACACAGGAGTCTGTAAAAGAAATTTGCTATGGCTTATAGGTGTCGCGACATTTAATCAGTTATTCCATAGGTAAATTGTATAAAGTGTAGATAAAAATAAAACTTCAAACTATTCTGCATATTTTATGAGCAATCCTAGTCTAATTAGTTGGCTTCCATTAGCAAAAGTTGATTCTACTTTATATCAGTTAAAGTTGTATATAAGCCAGTTCCAATAAGATTCTGCAGCTGGACGTAAAGCTGAGACTCTTTCGACTCTCTTATGACCATTTATCAGCCAATTTGATTGTCTTAACTTATCGCTCCCAAAAACTTCAAACACCTGCTTATATTTCTTCATGAACTTTCTCTTTGACTATATTACAAAATGACAAAAACTCTTGCTAATTGAATATAGACAAAAGCTACTATTGGTAAAAGTTTTTAATTAACACAATTATTTATTACAGCTCATAAGCAATACAAAGAGAATTGTTTACGTCTTCATTGTTTGGGCATATTATGATAAGTCCTAAGTTATTAAAGCTGCATAATGGATCATCAAAGGAGCCAATCTATAAATGCAATTCAAGGCAGTGCAGTAAATTGCATTAAGGATGTCCGAAGCGAAGAGCCTCGCGCAATGATAATGATGAGGCCAATGGAAAATTGTCAGCACAGGATGAGGCAGACAGTCGAAGCGATTGGCCCTGCTGCTCAAAGGTTTTCAGTGTTCCGTTTGCAGTTTTCAGCTTTCAGCTTTCAGCTTCCAGTTAAAGTTTACGCCGCTCGCCATGACAGTTGACGGTTGACGGTCTGTCAAACGAATATCTGTCAACAAGCCGAACATCGTTTTCAATTCTGAAACGTTCGCAAAATGTCAGGAGACAAAAATTTATGTGACTCGACTGCGGATAGGAGCCGATTAAAGTGCGGGGGCTGTCAGAGAAATTCTCGTTGCAAATTATCGTACATTGGCGCAGTATTTCTGAACGCTCGTTATAGTAGTAGCAGCAATCAGCCGGACAGCTCCGACCTTCCATCAATCGATACAGCGATTCATTGCAGGGGTAGCGCAACATTTTTATGCGTCTGCATAATGAGTTGCAGTTGTTGTCGTTGTTCCCTTTGTTGCATTCGTGAATCTCGATGTCCTGCGTCGGACAGGCTGAGGCTGATGCTGATGCCAATGCTGCTGCTGCGGTTGCTGTTGTTGCTGCTACTGTTGATGTTGCTGCTGTTGATTATCCCTTGACAGGGCATCAAATGCGAAAACGACCGCCCAATTTACATACAATGCACATCAATCCAACCAGCAACCACAACAACAACAACAACAACAACAGTAAGTACTGCCACAGCCGAGGCAATGTGCACCTTTGTGGCAACAGGTTTTTTTTTCATTTCATTTTAATTCGCTTGGCTGCGTCTCGTCTTGCTCCTTTTGGGGCTCGTTGCCTTCTGGGCCGCACAATCAAGCGTACTTGTTGTCCAACTCCAATGGCAACAACTTCAGCGGCCATGACACAAGGATTGACAGCATGTCGTCGCTGTTTGGAATCCTGATTGACATGAGTAATCAACCAGCCGAAATGTGCCCACAAAACGCAGCCAGAAATGACACTGACAGCAGCCAAGCAACCGACCCAACTTACCGAACAGCCAAGCAACAACAACATGGAAATGGAAATGGAAATGCTGCTCTGAGGGCCTCAGCCAGGAACCAATTTATTGTTAGCTTTGATGAGATCCTGGGTATACCTGGACAATAACTGTAGCCCTTGCATAATCGTAGAAGAAAACCTTTTATACTCGCTCATGCTTTAAAAAGGGTATATTGGCTTCATACTAGACCCATGCAAATTCATCTAAGCTGAAGTCAAACGACTTTATGTCTGTATTCGTCTGATCTTTGAGCAATGATAAATCGAAAAGTTTTTTCTCTAAATATAATTAAATCGACTTATGAAGTACAAGATACAACATTTCTTTACGAAATTATTATCAAATAATTTAAGTGGAATTAAGACAAACCATGATCAATTTTCTTTTAGGATAAACAACAAATTCTTGAGATTCTTAAAAAGTTGCTTCTGCCTATTTCGCTCTGTGTAAAATAATTTATTTTTAGCGAATCGAGTTTAAGGTTCAGCTCAATATTTGATATGTAGCATACAAGACATTAGACAAGCCGCAAAAGGTTTATATGTGTCAGTTTATTAGATTTAGAAACTTTGAGTTCCTTCTCTATTTTATCCTCTCTGTTCTAAAGTTCAAAAGGGAAATGCTGGCTTCACTCACTTTTGGTTTCAGCCACATAGTTGTCAGCCAGTAGCCGACCTAGCATTAGCTAATGAAAGAGGAATCTTAATAAATAAGACAATTTGCTGGGTTCTTGTTGGTCCTTCTTTTATAATTGATGAGTGCGTAAACTCATGCTCTCGATCTAGGTAACTTAATTAAAGTTAATGAATATGAATATTTGGCGCTTGGATGTTAAAGTCTATAACTGAGCAACGCCAAAAGCAAACAAAACTTTTTCGACATCAGCTGCAATATTGGCTAAGCTAAGGTAATTAGAAAAATAGACTTATGTTAGAATCAAAGTCTGTTGTAAAGTAAGCGCACATTGGCAGCCAAGTTACGCATCAAATGCAAATTCAAATTGAATGCGGGATGACAGCTCCCTCAGTGCGTCGAGTCCTTTCGATTGCATGCACATTCAATGCCATTGGCGAATCGACTGTGGAGTTGCGCCTTTGATGAAGGCGACACGACATTGACAGACGGCAGGCGATTGACTTCTGACAGCCAGCAGCCAGAAGAAACCGCATCACTGCACCACTGCACCACTGAGCCACTGACGGCAGTCAAGCAGCCAGGCGATGAGATCTGGCACAACTGCCACTGGGTTCGATCATCTTGGGGCATCGCGGAATCGAGACAAGGTCTACACTGCTATTCTGATGACTTTTTGTCAGGCTGATTGACGTCAACGACTCAACGTGCGGCTGGCATATAAATCTTGAAGCTCGTTTGCTGCCTCATCTTCGCATCAGGCTCAGCTTTCAGGGATTATGCCGACGAAAACGACGACGACGACGACGACGACGAAGACGGCCATAAACAATGTCATTTTAAATTGGCCATCGATGGGACAATAAATCGTGGAATGAATTACTATCCGTGGATTTAATTTAAATTAATAAAAAAGCCTTGCCAAACACGCCAGTAATTGTTGGAGCGAAAGTATACGCTCAGATACATTCACAAACTTGGCCCAGAAAGGGCGTTACTCAGTCTCAATTCGAAAGTAGGTCCAAATCTGTCTAAGCTCTGACTATAAATACGAACGTTTGAACTCTACTCAAGCACAGTTCGCTTGGGTTAAGAGTTCAAGCAACGCCTAGGCAAGATCAGCGCTTAAGTCTGCAGCAGCACCATGGCCCCTAAGGTAAGATCTACAAGGCTAACTAATCCGTTGACTAACAGATCGCCTTCGCTGCAGATATCCATTGCCTTCACCCTTGCCTTGCTGGCCTTTGTGGTCGTTCGGGCAGCTCCTTTTCATGGTGGAGCCACCAGTCACGCATCTGTGCATCTGGTCTCCCACGACGATCACCATGACGGAGGCCACCATCAACATCACGACCATGACGATCACCATGACTCCCATGCCGAGTACAACTTCAAGTATGGAGTCAAGGATCCCAAGACAGGTGATGTCAAGGAACAAAGCGAGACAAGGGAGGGCCACAAGGTGACTGGACACTATGAGCTGATCGATGCCGATGGCCACAAGCGTACTGTCCACTACACAGCCGACAAGCACAAGGGCTTCGAGGCTCATGTGCATCGCGAGAAGGTGCACCACCACGTGCCCGTCCACCATGGACACAGCGGCTACACAGGTGGACATGTGGAGTTCGAGGAGCATTCACAGTCGGGACACTCTGATTACTCTGGCTACTCTGGCCATGGTCATGAGGACTATCACTCGCATGGCCATGAGGGTGGACACCATGGCTCCAGTTCCCACGGCTTCTCACTGAAGCAAGAACACGGATATGGACACGGACACGGACACGATGCTGGACACGGACATGATGCTGGACACGGACATGATGCTGGACAGGATGCTGGATACGAACACTCATACGGCGGACACGAGCACAGCTATCATTAAAAACAAAGAAGAAACCATCTGAAATAGAGTACCAAATATTATTGTTTTTATACCAATAAATACTGCAATATTTTTCCAAAGTGAAAACATTTGGGTTTTAATTTTAATACTTATTCACAAAATATTTTGCATTTATTTTGCAAGTAGTTTAAAACTAACTTATGTATGCCTGCAAAAAGAATATAATAGTGAAAAATTACTTCCTCCAAGATCCGATCTCGCAGCACATAATAAGCGCATTATGCATTGATGAACGGATTTCAGTGAATTGTTCAGCAAATAATCCGTTCTATTTACCAAACTTCTATATTTAACTGAGCTTAATTAAAATGTTTTATCAAATTTGGACTCGTCATTACAAAGAGACAATAAACCTAATTGATAGGAGTCATAATTTATACAGACTACACAATTTGGTAACTCTAGTGCTAATGGCCTACTAGAATTGAATTGATAACAAAGCTACGAGATAATAATTTTAATAAACTTCATAGAAGCGGGAAAAATGCATTGATTATTTGTAATAAGCTTAATGCATTAAAAGAAACCCAATTGGATATTAAATATCTTACTTTTATAAGATCACGCGCAGAAACATATGGACAGGTCTAAATCCACATGTGTGTTGATCCTCATCACGAACCTGTAGAAGACGACATCAGCAATATTTGGAAATTTAAGCTCAAACACTGTAGAAGATTAGGCTTTTTTCGGATTTACATAAAACCATACAATATGGTATAGCCTATTGTATAGTTCCATAATTTGTCCTATTTAAAAACCACGCTTAAATTCAAAGTCAAATTATCGACTTGTATAGATAGAAAGCAAAAGGGTTGACTTATCGAGTAAAGTGATAAATGAGTACACGAGTACACATTTAAAATTTTAAGATTCTAAGTGTTGCGGGTTACGTGATCGCTGCTTTCATTCAGTTCAGTCGGTCGGCCGCACAGACGGCCAGGCAAACATGGCTAGATCGATTGAGCTCATCGTCCTTGGTAAAAATATATAGACACTATAGACTTCTTCTGTATTTTACACACATTTTATACAAAATTCTCATTTTCAATATAAATAAAAAAAAAAAAAAATAAAGTGGAACTTTTTACTTACCCCGCAAACCCGAGACACGACGTAAGAAATGCTATAGTAAAAACCTAGTAAAGCTGAACTAGTCGAAAGTGAGCTGTCATTCTAATCTTTTGTTCATACACGCATAAGTGCTATGGGCTTTAACATATGAAATTTATTATTAAATAACTTTCATTTTAAATACCCTTTCTTATGGCAATTTTCCAAACGTACTAAAGGCCTTCAGATGTCTGTATTTGCCAAAGCGCAACTCTATTTACTCTATCTACTATTTACAATATGTGCGTGCCACAAAAAATACACGTACACACACACACACCAGCTCTGACTATAAATACGAACGTCTGAACTTTACTATAGCACAGTTCGCTTGGGTTAAGAGTTCAAACAACGCCTAGGCAAGATCAGCGCTTAAGTCTGCAGCAGCACCATGGCCCCTAAGGTAAGATCTACAAGGCTCAATAATCCTTTGACTAAAAGATCCTCTTCGCTGCAGATATCCATTGCTTTCACCCTTGCCTTGCTGGCCTTTGTGGTCGTTCGGGCAGCTCCTTTTCATGGTGGAGCCACCAGTCACGCATCTGTGCATCTGGTCTCCCACGACGATCACCATGACGGAGGCCACCACCAACATCACGACGACCATGGCGATCACCATGACTCCCATGCCGAGTACAACTTCAAGTATGGAGTCAAGGATCCCAAGACAGGTGATGTCAAGGAACAAAGCGAGACAAGGGAGGGCCACAAGGTGACTGGACACTATGAGCTGATCGATGCCGATGGCCACAAGCGTACTGTCCACTACACAGCCGACAAGCACAAGGGCTTCGAGGCTCATGTGCATCGCGAGAAGGTGCACCACCACGTGCCCGTCCACACTGGACACAGCGGCTACACAGGTGGACATGTGGAGTTCGAGGAGCATTCACAGTCGGGATACTCTGATTACTCTGGCTACTCTGGCCATGGTCATGAGGACTATCACTCGCATGGCCATGAGGGTGGACACCATGGCTCCAGTTCCCACGGCTTCTCACTGAAGCAGGAACATGGCCATGGACACGGACACGGACACGATGCTGGACACGGACATGATGCTGGGTACGACGGACACAAGCACAGCCATCATTAAAAAGAATAAAGTTTCCTTTGTCATTTCCATTTTTCGTTGTGGTCGCACCTTGAATAGAGTACCAAATTTGATTGTTATATATTCCAATAAACACTGCAATATTTTTCCAAGGTGAAAATACCTGGGCTTTAATTTTTATACTCATTCACCAAGTGATAAGGATAGCTATTCGAATACTGAAGGTAAAGATCATCGAGTAAGACTTCTAGACTAGAGACTTGATACGTGGAATATTAGTTCCTTAATTCCTTAATATGAAAGTACCTCAACATCTACATTCTAGAAGCTTAAAATTAAAATTTCCCAAAATGTATATTAACACCTATTGGGACCTAGAGTGAATTACGATAAACTCCCCAACAGATGTAGCTATTAAGTATATGCTCAGAAAATTATAGCGATGCCCATCTCAAAACACTTATTTATTAATCAAATTGTACTAACCTAGCTCTAAAAACACCTTAAGCTCGTATCTTAACAACAAAAATTTTTAAGGTCAACGCAAAATATCCTAAAAAATAAGTTCCTTAATGATTCGAGCTCATCAACCCCACGACCACACGTTTTCTTACATAATTTCTTAGTGGCTTAACGGATTTCAATGAAATGTTCTACAATGATTCTCAAATTCCATTTACTATATGGCTTATTACAAAAATCTTAATATCTTAAACATATTGGCTATATTCAACTGTACATTAAAAATTAATGATTGTATCAAATATGGAGCCACCATTAATAAATAAACCAAAATTATAGAGTAACAAATCACACAGAATGCAACGTTTGGCAACTCTAGTTTTAATGGCTTAATAGATTTGATTATCACATCAAATAATAATTTCAATAAATTTCATGGAAACGAAAAAAGTTATCGATTATTTGAAATGAACTTAAACTGGAAATATTAAAAGGAACAAAATTGGATATTAAATATTCTACTTTTCGAGATCCATATATGTGTTGATCCCAGTCACAAATCTGTGAAAGAGGACAACAGCAATTCACTACAATATTCAGCAATTTAAGATCCACATCTACGGAAGATAAAGTTTTTCCAATTTGCCTCTAACAAATTTTTAGAATAGAGTAAGTTAGCTTTCAAGTTATTGGGTTATAGATCGACAGATCGACTACTTAATATTTATACCCAAAACTCCAAGCCTCTAGTTTTAATAGCTATTATTTATCATAAAATATAGAATTTCCCGAATTGCCACGTTCCATATAAACGTATCCGAAATAATAGTCTTTAGCTTCAAAGCAGCGCCATACAAAAGGAATGTGGGGCAAGGGAACGGACAGCTAGGCGAACAATGCGATGAAATCCTTTAATAATTAAGAAGTAAGAGTTCTTTAGTCAAGAGTGCCCGACTAGAAGACACCGTGAAACCTGCTCACAGACGATATTCAAATCATTCAACGCTTATTTTATTCATAATCACGCCCACTTTAGGCAGGGGTCGGCTGAGTTTGGTCTATTGGCTTTACTATGGAAAATTAACTATTAAAAGACTTTTATATACTTTCTTAAAGCAAATTTCGAAACTATCATTTATGTATTTGCCAAAGCACATGTCTGTACTATTACACGTACACACACACCAGATCTGACTATAAATACGAACGTTTGAACTTTACTAAAGCACAGTTCGCTTGGGTTAAGAGTTCAAACAACGCCTAGGCAAGATCAGCGCTTAAGTCTGCAGCAGCACCATGGCCCCTAAGGTAAGATCTACAAGGCTCAATAATCCTTTGACTAAAAGATCCTCTTCGCTGCAGATATCCATTGCTTTCACCCTTGCCTTGCTGGCCTTTGTGGTCGTTCGGGCAGCTCCTTTTCATGGTGGAGCCACCAGTCACGCATCTGTGCATCTGGTCTCCCACGACGATCACCATGACGGAGGCCACCATCAACATCACGACCATGACGATCACCATGACTCCCATGCCGAGTACAACTTCAAGTATGGAGTCAAGGATCCCAAGACAGGTGATGTCAAGGAACAAAGCGAGACAAGGGAGGGCCACAAGGTGACTGGACACTATGAGCTGATCGATGCCGATGGCCACAAGCGTACTGTCCACTACACAGCCGACAAGCACAAGGGCTTCGAGGCTCATGTGCATCGCGAGAAGGTGCACCACCACGTGCCCGTCCACCATGGCCACAGCGGCTACACAGGTGGACATGTGGAGTTCGAGGAGCATTCACAGTCGGGACACTCTGATTACTCTGGCTACTCTGGCCATGGTCATGAGGACTATCACTCGCATGGCCATGAGGGTGGACACCATGGCTCTAGTTCCCACGGCTTCTCACTCAAGCAAGAACATGGCCATGGACACGGACACGATGCTGGACACGGACATGATGCTGGACACGATGCTGGATACGAACACTCATACGGCGGACACGAGCACAGCTATCACTAAATCGTTGGGATCGTACCTTGAAATGAGTAACAAATATTTTTGTTTTATATCCCAATAAAAACTGCAATATTTTCCAAAATGAAATCTGGGATTAATTTATTTTTTGAATATTGATAGAAAATAATTGTTCATTTATATTTTAATATTGAAATTATGCCTGGAAAGTGTATAAAAAATTAAAAAAAAACTTCAATCAATTCTAAGTTAATTGTTAAACTTGATGCGCAAGAAATACATCTCACAGTTAGTCAGAAGTAGGCTCTTTGGGATGTGTGTATTGCATCCAGAGGGAGATGGGTGTGGTGTAAAGAAAATGTGTAATATATAATTCAATTATACACATATTGTTTAGCTGCAATTTAATGGCATAGACTTACCCAATATATTTTGATTTTAGTGCAATTTATTTACATATGGCTCTATACCTAAATGAATAAAGAGAAGTTGCGAATGAATTTTATATTTTGTTGAGGCGATTTCTACATAGGAATTTGAATTGCATGTGAATGACCCAATTGGAAGGGTTTTAAATAAGATCTTGATCTTGAACTTAATATCTTCCATTTGTGTGTCTGAGAAAGATTAACTTAATTGTGTCTTTTAATTTCCTTAACATTTTCAAAATAATATAGATAGGGGCCTTATATTCGTGCATTTAAATCTGAAATTATATTTTTTAATGAAATAAATCAATGAAGTTTTTTGAGCATTGCCCTTATATATTTCTATTTGTTTTCCTTAAACATATTATCTTAATTATAAACTATATGTTATAATAGATTACCCTAAAAGAAAAGTCATTTTATTGAGTTTTTATTCTACTAAACCAAAGAAGACTTTTTCGAGCAATCTTGGTTTGTTAAGGTCACCAAAAAATACTTTTATAATGGATGTTGTTCAGTTTATTAGTATTAATTATTTGATTTATTTTTAAGCATCAATTCAGAATTGTGTCTTATCTATTGTATACTCCAAAGCTTATACCTTCTTTATTTGCTTTCATTTTTCACTTATTAACAATTTTATATGAGGTTTACTGAAGTATTTTATCTAAATTGTATTCATAACGATTATAAAAGAACTCTTCAATAAATCTATAAATAGAGTATCTGTATTACTTGACATTTCATAAATTTACTGAAATAAATTGAGGGCAGAGGAATTTGAAATATAATAAATTTCAGATAGCTGAACCAGATACAGAAATCAAGAGTACCTCAAATACCAGCATAATTTAGTGTCTCTCAGCCTAGGGTGCAACCCCTATTAGCAAAGGCAAGCCCAAAAACAAAAGCAAAAACAGACAAATAGAAAAACAGAAAAAAGGAAACATTTTTATCACTTACCACACAAATTCGAATTGCGCGACGCAAAAAATGCTATAATAAATAAAAATAATAGCAACTGCAATTTTCGCACTATATTTTATGTATAATGTATAAAATGCGTGCCACAAACAAAATACACACACACACACACGCACACACATACGAAACGTATAAAAATAATAAATTACTTCAATAGCCGGATAACTGCGAGCAGCAGGGGACGGGGTTGGGGTCGGGGTGGTTGTGCGAAATGGAGAGGAGCGTTTATTATGCGCACAATAAACGCGGCGGGCGCAGTGGCGACATAAATTAAATTTATGATGCTTATAAATATTCCACAGTCATTTGTAATACAGCAACAAGGAGGAGGACGAGCCGGCCAGGATAACGCAAGGATGCAGCTTGTCTGCCCAACAAATTGCTGCCAACAGGGGTAGCACGCACACACAGATATACTCTGCGAAATAAGCGCTGATTTATGAATATGGGACGAGAAGTCCACGAACTGTCCCTGGGCCCATCAAGCACATTATGCGAGAACTTTAAATCAAATCATTTTCGGGAACTCACAAAGCGGGCAGCTCGAGAGTGTTAAAAAGGAAGCTCACCTCAGTCATTAATGCTAGAAGCGTTTTAGTTTTATTCAAATCCCAAAGGACAGTGATTGACTCTCTTCGAACACAATCAAATTGTATTAAAAACTTGAAATCTGCAAACGTCTTTTGCAGCTTTATGATTGACAGTGATTGTTTCACTTCAAAGTTAGCTTGTTTTCTATGAATGTTCATCTGAATTCTATGATAATATGAGTCCCAGATCACAACTTTGAAACCCGATGAAAGCACAAGTCAGATATACTAAATGAATTATTTATAAAAACCAATGATTGATAGTGATGAAAACTTTATGTTTCCAGAGTCATACTTATACTTATCAATCTTAAAGATTAATGAAAAAAATTCCAGAGTACAGCATGATTGAAGGAAATAAAACATGAAATTTAAAAACTGAATTTAATTGAAATATATATATATAATATTTGATCAAGATAGAGTGCTTAAAAAAACGTTCTTGTGTTTAAAAAACATTTTCAAAAATATTGTTAAAGAAGATATTACAGAAAGATTTGAATGATTGATGACAAAGACACTTCAATGCATGGACTCTAGGGAGATATATTTTATATATTATTTCATATTCAAATTCAATATTCGTTTCATTTGACTAAAAGATATTTCAGTTTTTTAACTGAAACATTTCGAACTCCATTTTTAAAGTATCCCCAACTCAATATGAAAGCGAGAGCTGAGTTTAGGGTATCAACTATTCGCATTAGAGCACTTCCACTGAGTTTTTCTGCCTATTACCTACATAGAATTTTTATGTTGTTATATGTTAATGCGATTCTCGATTGAGGTAAATAATGTTATTAAGTCGTAAATAAAAGCAAACGCACTTAAAAGCCAAATTTATGCCTTAAGTAGATTTCGTGAACAGGAAATATAAATCTATTGAACTGAACCGAGTGCTTATGTACATCGAGTATATAGACGCGAAAGTAAATGGCTAATTAATAAGCAAAATCAATAAATATTAAATGCAATTAGCACTTGCTCGTGGCTTATCGCGTAATTGCGATCAGTTCGAGGTTGACATTAAATTAGCTCATCTGAGAGAGTACATGGCGTTAAATGCAATTTTATCATAAATTCGATGTTTGACACTTTGCGCTTAATTTATGTGCCCAAATGAGATTTAAATTGTTTAATTTAAGCTCCGCAGAACGTAAAGTTGCTCGGATCGTAAATTAGGCTGATTGCGATTTATTTCAGCTGCCGAAAACCGAAAGCTAAAGACTGAAAAAATAAAAACTTTTGCCAACGCTTCAATGAATTTGTTTTTAACTAGACGACGATGACGACTGACTCTCAAATCCCAATATTGCTGCTGAGTTGGACTAAGCAAACGCGTTGATCATTTGCATTGCAAATTGGGTTCGCCGTTGCCTCGCTAGCGCATAAAAATGAAGTAAATATATATTTTATGTTTCACTTGTCGTCGTTTAATGCCATAAAAATGGGTATGTGTCTTATTAACTGATGAGAATGTCGTTTAAAATACACAAAACCGGTATGGCACCAGCCAGGCTAACTGAGCTAACTGAGTGAGCCGTGCTGCAAGACCCAGCCAGGGCGCCCCCAAATCCAAGCGCCCGTTACCTGCCTTGGCGTCATTAATTTTGGAATCGTAAAGCCCACAATATGTCAAATGAGACCACACAGCGTCGTAAAATTCAAAGTTTATGGCACTCGCTCAGTTTTGTCGAGGGTTCGGATTTGGTTTCGGTTTGGTTTTCGCTTTGGTTCGGTCGGTCTTTGAATTTTTGATCAGAGTGTGGCGTTTTTAATGGCTTCGCTTTAGGTGCTTTGCTGTCTAAATGTGTTGCGTGTCTCGGTTTATAAACGCTTGCCACAAAATTAAGCGTAACTTATTTGTCAACTCTGCCAAGATTTCGTTTTCGAATTTCGTTTGCGGCGGCAATGGGAAAACTTGAATTTCAATAGCTCACACTTATCATTCAGATCGTGCTGACAAAGCATGTTACTGCCGCCTTTACTAATTAGTCAACTCATTTTGTTGTTTATAATATCAAAGTCTTCGCTAAAACAACAAATGAAATAACTTTTTTTTCACTTGTTGGTTTAAGTTTCCAAATATTAAAATCTTTATTCGATTCTCTTTCAAGTTCAAACTATTTCCAATTTTATCTAGGAATAAAAAAGTTCTGAAAACCAAAGCTTTTTAAAGATTTAAATTGAGTAGTCATTTTTTAAAATTCGTATGACAATTTTTTTGTTTTTGAAACATAAGACTATTAATTTTTTAATTGTAAATTAATAAATTAGTTTTTAAGAATTCTGAACAACTTTTTTAATACTTTAACAATTTTTTTAAAATTTTAAATTAATAAAGATAATATTCAAATGCTCGAAATGTTTTTTCTAAGTTAAAAAGCTTTAAAAAAATTATAAAACATTGGTTTAAGCAGACTGAAATTAAATTTTAGTATAATACAGAACCTACAGAACCTCATTCAAGCTGCCAATCATTCGCATATGCTACCTAATATAGATGTTGAATCTAATATATATAAATATATCAATATCAATCAAGTTTTCTTAAAGCTACTCTAAAAACACAAAAATATATCTGACAGATTGACTTTAGCACTTAATTTAAGTCTCGGCGCAGCAGCAAAAAAAGCGACGGCGTCAAAATTATATAAAGTCCAAATAGATTCGATTGTAACTGATGGCCCATGGCAAGCATAATAATCTTAAATGCTTTATAATAACCATAAATGTTTGAAATTCATGTGTCAAATGCCTTTTGGTCGCACAGCGAGTGGACGGCCAGGCGCGACTGGGCCACTCGCAGCATGGAGTCTCCAGTAGATCCCCCCTGGCCCACAGTATCTGGTCTCTGGTCTTTGGTCCCCGGACTGTGCCAACTGACCGACTAAATGCATGAAAATTGTTTATGACCGTTTCGTATCTCTGTCTCTCTGTGTGTGTGCGTGTGTGTGTGTGTGTGTGTGTTTGGGTCTGTGGTGTATTTGAATTTAACTGATTTTTAATGTGCATGCAGACCCAGAGAGAGAGGCGCGGGCAC